GCAACACTTTTAATACACGAGGGAAATGAGGGTCACTTAGTGTCACTAACTAGATGGAATGGGTCTTTGTGACTGCTGTTTCTCTTGTAGCTGCAGATCTCAGCCCCGCCTCAGTGCGGCCAGATCTGGCCATCTGTTTGCAGTTTGGGGCCCTGTAATAGGCCCCTCTCTCTCACCCTTTCCTCTCCCACTAAAACATAAAGGCAAGATACTCCAGGGGTTCCTGTAGCAATAACCCAGATGCTCCTCATTAAGCCAGTGCTTAGCACTACACTCACAGCAGACAAAGGATGTGAATGGATGACAACGGATACCACCGTCGTTCCTGATCCTCATTCTCTTTCTCTCCTGTCTCCTTCCAACTCTAAACTCCCAAATTCAGTGCTCCTAGTTTAAGCCTGTGTTTGGCTCCTCAGACTTGATGTTTCCATCTGCCTGGCCCTCAGCACCCACATGGCCCCATGGAGAAGTTCTCTTATTACCACCATCCTCCAACAACCACTTCTCTGTGCTGCAGGGGTCTTCCCCCCAAAGAGTGACTCACTTGCCACCTCACAGGCCCTTATCCTAGACGTGTGACTCTCCATCAGCTCGGTGCTGGATCCAAGGACACAGAGATCCTCGCCCCAGCCCCCAGGGCACATAGAATGGTAGAGGGCAGGATGCACAGGTCGAGGACTCACCAAAGTTCTCCCCACCCCAGATGTCCATGTCCGTATCGTATTTCCCCAGGTAATCGAACCGGGCTTTGTCGATCACAAAGAGCCCTCCAGCTATGATGGGAGTCCTGTGAGTTTGGGAGGAAAAGAGGGAGGTCAGTAATAGGGGAGAGACCACTCTCAAACTCTTCTGCCCTGGGAGCTTGGAACTCAAGGCCATTTTCTTCTCATTTCTGTTCCTCTTCAGAAGGGCCAAAACATTTTCCAGTTACCTAAAACAAGAACATCCTCCAGGGTTTTCCCCATTGATTGTAAATCTCCTGACCTTGCAGACTGGCAAATTCATTCGTGAGCCCACCCCCGGTGGGAGCCCAGGACTCGGTCCGAACCCCTGCTGTTCTGACACCTACAGAGACTACACTGGCCTCCGCCAGGCCCTGCCCAGGCAGAGAAGAGGGGCTGAGTGTTAGCAGCACGTCCATTGCCTGAAACTGGGCTCTCTCTCCCCTTTCTCCCTCTCCATCCCTCTCTTATGGGTTGAACTGTGTCCCCTGCTGAAGGAAGGTATGTTGGAGCCCTGGCACCCAATACTTCAGAATGCAACCTTATTTGGAGACAGGGTCTTTATAGAGTTAATCAAGTTCAAATGAGGTCATCAGGGAGGGCCCTAATCCAATATGACTGATGTCCTTATAAGAAGGTGAAATTTGGACCTAAAGGCAGACACACCAAGAGAATAGATGATGCGGAGAGACACAGAAGGAGGATGACCATCTACAAGCCGAGGAGAGGTCCGGACAGCTCTCGAAGGAGCCGACCCTGCCGACACCTCAGCCTCAGACTCTGGTCTCCAGCCTGTGAGACAGTGAATTTCTGCTGGTGAAGCCACTCAGTGCGTGGGGCCTGTGACTGCAGCCCTAGTGAACTAGCACACCCTCGTCTTCCTTTT